CACACACACGCACACACACGCACCCACTCGCACCTGCATCCCCCTCTGGCTGGCTCTGGGGAGTAGGCACAGGTTGCCCCGCACACGGAAGATAGGGTGCCAACTGGCTGGTGCATGCACTCTCACCCTTCATCCCAAAGAGGAGAGTAGGAAGCCTCTTGCTTGCGGGTGGGATTTGCTTTGGCCACTTGATTTCCTTACTCTGAGATTGCCAGGTGTGGCTAATAACTCCCAGCAGATAACTCCCAGCTGGCCGTTCCACTAGTCTGGAGCTTGACGCAGGGGGGATAGACTTGCCTCCCTGCACGCTTCCTCCCCCAACCCCTGATGGTCTCCCGCACCTGCTTTTCATTTCCAGCTCTGGGAGAGCTGAGAAGCTCCCCACCAGGGGTGACAGCTGGAAGCGTGTTTGCATGGCTGAACCCAGCTTAAGGCCCCAAGGAAGCTGCTGATGGTATTCTCAATGCTTCAAGGCTGGGGACCGTTAGAGGGGGGGAAAGGGCTTCTGTGAAGCATCCAAGTCCCTTCAAAGACCCCGCTTCTCATCAGTGACAGACATGACTCTCCCCTTATTTCGTAGATGTTACCACCAAGCAGCCTCCTGGCCATGAGCTCCTGCAGTTGACTGAGGAGCTGAGCTGCATACCCGCAGGGGAGTTTATCAGAGAAGGCATGGGGCATGGCAGTGGGCACCCCTAGAAACTAGCATTCTGAGAACTCGTGCTTGAGCCTGTTTCTCCCCAGTCCCCAGAGGAGGAGTAAAGAAAGGGGGTGGTGGTGTTCTGGGTGGCCATTAGTGGAATGCCTCACAGGGCTCCCCACCATTTCAGAGAGTCAAGGCACCAGCCGTTCTTGCCAGTTTCAAGTGCTTCCAGAAGAGGCTGTTTTGAGTGTTCAGACAACAAAATGCAATGATGCCAAACAGTATTGAACAGAATAATTTATTTCCTTTTCTTTTGGGGGGCTTCCTTTTTCTGTTTTGTTTAAACTATTAATATGCCCCCATTCTGGAAGAGATAGGTCCTAGCATCCAGCCCCAGGTCTCCTTTTCAGCAATAGTTATTTAAACAAATGTTTTTTATTTTCTTCCCCTTTCTCTCTGTGAATTAAAAACACAACAAAACTATATAGTCCTCTGTTCTGAAATGTATTTGATCCTGGAAGGGAGGTGGCTTTGAGAAAGGGCAGATGTGTCTGAGTAACGGCTGAGAATGTTCCAGGGTGAGGTGGGTGGGGAAGGTTCATGGGGTTGGGTAATGACTTCAGAAACCCTCGACTTAAAAATGTGAGGAGCCGAGTTCCATTGACCCTGCGACCAAAGGTCCATCCATCATCTGCCCCACGTGAGGCTCTGCTCTTATCGGTGGCATGCTGGGTCTCAAAGACGGGGCTCTCCGAGCCTGGGGAGTCTGCGTTCCCCTTCCTGTGACTTCGGCATACCTTAGGGTTCTTTTCCGCACACCAAGAATCTTACCACCAGCACTATACCTTAGGCTGCGCAGGTCATTTCCAAGGACCCCGGTGTGTGCTGTATGTAGCTTGGTGGGGTGTGTGTGCGTACCTTCTCTGGGTACCTCCGTGATCCTGGGTTTACTAGGCTGGTGTCCGAGATCAAGGAGCCCCCAAAGACAGCCACGATGCTGGTGTCCCCATCCCTAATCTAGTCCTTAATATTGCTGCTTATGGCGGCGTATCACACACCTACCAAAAAGCATAAAAACAAATGTGCAAGAAAAGGTTGAGCTTAATGAATTTAAAGCAAATACAGAATCACTAGCAGGGGATGTATGCAGCTCAGAACCCCCTCCTCCTCCCATCAAAGTTTGGACCCCGCCCCCCCTGCCAACCCCAAGGTAACCATTGTCCTGACAGGTAATTCCGCCCTTGATTTTCTGTAGACTTGTCATCTGACTACATGGGCGATGAGGATGTCGTTACATAATCATCTCAACACGATGGTTTCGGTTTTTGACGCTTGAACTTTGTGAGAGAGAGATCCCGCATGATGCTTTTGGTGTACATTTTTGGGGGTTGTGTGTGGCATTGTCACTCGATTCGTGTGGTCCACCGGTGCTGTTGCAGTTGTATGTGTAAGGTAATCGAGAGGCGCCAGAAACCAAATCAGTCGAATTAGAACAAACAGGCTTAATTAGGGAGAGAAAAAAAACCCAGCCTGGGCGAAGTCCCACAGTCCACAATGTCCGGGCTGGGGGAGTCGCATCGCAGGCTGCAGCGCTGCTGCTTATATGGACAGGTATGTCCGGGTTTCTGGAATGTGAGGTGTCTTCCTGGTTCTGGTGTATTCGTGCCGGGTGTAGAGTAGTGGGCAAGAACAAAGAGGGCACTGAGCCAAACGGGCCATGCCAGTGCCAGGTGCAGAGCGGCGGGTCGAGAACAAAGTGGGCCATTAGCCAGTTCTGGTCAGCTCTGCAGGTGTGTGTGGGAGATTCAAGGGCACTTGCTGCTAGTTTCAGCTAGCTCTGGTCAGCTCCGCATGGGTGGGGGAGACTCAAGGTCACTTGTTGCTAGAAGCCAGCCTGGTATTGACCCGGCCATACATTCCCAACTCTGGTTATATGGGCGATGACTCTTCTGGCTACTTCCTGCGGGTACTGGGACAGCGTGGAGGGCTTACGGATTGGGAATGTCTGGCTCCTGTGGGAGAGGACTGTAAGGGTGCAATAACATTTGATTAACGGCAACACGAGAAATTTTTTGCAGTGGTTGTGAAGAAAGTTCAGCAAACAGGGCATCAGAAGTAGCAGAGTACAGTTGGTTATAAGAGGGGTTATTAAAGGGAGCAATCCAACCGATGAATGGATTAGACCACCAACCTCCTTGTAAGACGCCAGATAGCTTTTTCCCAAGTTAAGAAGTTTGTCTATACTGGTTTCCACCAACCCGGATTCGTTAACATAATAGCAACACTTCTTATTCAGGAATATACACGTTCCCCCTTTATCGGCCATTAAGAGGTCTAGGGCTTTTCTGTTTTGTAAGGCTACTTGGGCTAGGGCTGTTATTTGGTGCTGTAAGAGATTTAAAGATAATGCAGTGTTTTTAATTGCCGCTTGCAGTGTGGAGGACCAGCTTTGTGAAGAGCTCAGAGAGTGGGATAGGGCTCCTGCCCCCATTCCTGAGCCAAGCAAGGAAGAGGCTACCGCTAAACCAACCGTAGCAGGGAGGAACACTGCCCTTGTGTGTCTGGTGGCGCCATGGGAGGGAGTCTGCAGAGCGTTTACCTCAGGGACCGTGTACATAGTTAGCTGGGGAACCAGGGTGTTTGCCATACATAGATGGGATGGGGAAGGAGTGGAAAGGTTTTTTGTCAGGGTGTTGTTGCCCTAAAAGAATCCACCTGGGGGCCATTGAGGGGAAAAGTGAGGTTACTTGCAGTGTTGTTACAACCTTGTTCCGGGTCGGAATAGCAAAACGGCCATTTTTTAGCAGTGGGTTGTGGAACAGGGGAACTTCAAATTACTGGTGGAAAGGCACCTGTTTCGTGTAGTTAAACAGGTGAGGTAAAGGTACTGCTACCAGAGGAGACCTGTGGAGGGCAGCACAAAAGAAACAAGAGGAAAGATTAACCAGGTTGGAATTGTTAAGAAGGGCTGCCCTTCTTGGATAACGGTGAGCCAAGAAAAAGGTTTTTCCTTGGACTTCTGTCCTGTAACCTGTTTTTGAAGTTTTTGTTGGGCTTTTTTAATTAGCCGGGTTTGATCGGCCAGCCAGTGCGTACGTAAGCAACCCAGATACCGGTAGATTTTTTTCTGGGACACCCTATTGCTATGGGTCAGGGATGTTGATCCAGAAAGTACCGTCACGATGGTTACCGGTGAGACGATACTTTTGTTTCCGCTTTCCTTCCAGATCCGTTTGGTATTTGTGCATCACGCAGGAATTCCATGGGCAACCTCCATTTTCTTTTACCTATTTAGCGCTGCAACCGCTAGATTTGGTTCAGTCATACAGGAAACAAAGGAGGGGGTGGGACCACATTGTGGGAGTGCAGTGGAAGGTTTTACAGGATCCACACCAGAGATTCGCAGCCTTCAGTATGACAATGCTTTTTGCCTATAACCTGCGAATGGGTTCCTGAAGTATTAGCTCAGATTTCAGTAATATGAACTGCCATTGGTGGCTGGGTGACCGCATTTCCGTGTTTATGGAAGCCAACACTTGAAGAGGAAAAAACAGGAACAAATCGCAGCATAACTGAGCCCCAAACAGACCTTTTGACCAGTGGTTCGATTGGCTGGAGCGGTTGCTGCAGGGCTTATTCCAAAAACATATAATAAGGGGTAAAAAATAAAAAGAGGAGGAGGCATACTGAAATCATTTAGGGGGAGGTTTTAGTTAGGCGGCCGATGAGGTTAGAAGTTT